AACAATTTTTGATTAGCTTGGAAAAATTCAATGGCACTATTTTCGTAGCTATGAAAGTATTGCAGACTGTAATCATTTATTTCTTTTTCAAGTTTATCATTGCTCTCAATTAAATTACAACAAGATTTATCTGTTACTAGTTCAATTAAGTTGATTGACTTTCGTCTTTTGTTGTTAACTAAAGTAATATTATTTGCAATAGGTGACGTTGACAATTGCTGAAATGTTTTTATGGTATTGTCAGCTGAGCTGTTTGACGAGTTCAAAGTGTTATTTAAACAATTTGTTTCAATTGTTATATCGATTTCTTCGGTTTCTTTTAGATGCATTTCATAAAATGTTTTTATAAACATTTTTGCCTTTGAAATGCATTCATATCTATAGATATCATTTTTGATAAACTCGAATTTACGAAATTTGAAATCAAGAAAAGTAGCTGTTAAAAAAAAAATCATTAGCAAAAATGTATTTAAAACGTCCTTTTAGAGACCTTAATAATTCCTTTTGAAAAGTCTTAACTAGTTCTGTAAAAATAGGTTGCGATTCAAGTATTTCATTTAGTAGAGAATACAGTGTTAGAAACAGGAATGTTACTGTAACATATTTCTTTCCGCTAAAAAGTTTTGTTAGCTCTTTAATTGGGTGTAACAAATCACACAAATCCTCCAGCACCTTAAATTCAGTAGCAGTGGGAAGATAGTCTTTTATATTTTGGAATTCGATGCTTATCATATCCAATGCAGTTTTATTTGTTAATATAGATTATTAACAAATAATCTATATTAACAAATCGAATTGGCTATTCCAGCAAATAGCTATATCCTGTACTAACTTTATTTTAGTTTCATAACGAAGTGTTTCTTGAACTTCTTTTAACTTTTTTTGTAACATCTCTGAATGCTTAAATGAACCAACAATGTGCCTGCAGGATGAAATTACCTTGGCGATTTCTAATTTGCCTTCGTAAATTTTTTCAATTTCTTTAACTTCACTTTCTGTAATTTCTCTATTAACTAGTTTTCCATTACCGTCGTAATCTTTTACTTGGTAACGCTTTGACCCATTTTTAAATTTTTTTACTTTTATATCTCGTGCGTTTAGAAGATCATTTACCACGAGATTCAAACGATGACCAGCACACGGAATCTTAAGAACATTATCATCAAATTTATTTACTGCAGAGAAAATATTTGCACCTGAGTCAGTAACTAGTGCAAAAATCTTATTATTGATTGACCATTCACTGAAGATTTCGTTTAACGTATTAAATAAATATTCAGCTGTTTTCATTTCAGACATAAACTTAAGATCCAGGTTTCGGTCAACTAGAGTCATATTTTTGTCAATAAAATGACAAGTCACACCGAGGTAGCTGTTTTTACCTAATGATGACCAACTATCACAAGTAATTGTAATGAAACGACATCCCTTCAATTCTAGCATTAAAATTGATTTAAGATAGCCCGTAATTGATGGAATTAATTTCTTGCTCACCGTATTTATGCAAGGCATTTTGTAGCTTTTGTTTAACTCACTAACTAAGTTTACAAAGTCTGGATGACGTACTATCGAAATCGGCTGATCGGTACCAACAATAAATTTAACAATAACCTGTTTAATTTTTTATGACCAGTCTCTTCAAAACCATTCTCATTACCGCTCTCAATATCGGATATATCGTCATCGTTGAGTAAAGTTGTTGATTTTTTAGATATTTTAGAATTAATACAATGATCAATTGATAAATGGGATTGCATTGAACTGGTCGAACTGTTGTAAGGTAAAATCTTATAACATATGCTGCATTTTGTTTGATTCTTTTGGTCCATTTCGAAATATGTCCAAACGAAGCTTCGTTTTCTTATTCCTTTTTTAATAACGGATTTATTTGTTTTTGACATTGTTTATTCAAACTAAAAAGCGAGTAGTTTTTTTACTCGTTCGTATGTAACAAATATTAACAAATTAGTAACTTATGATAAAATAAATTTGTACCACATGTTACTTCACTTACGTTTCCGAGATATTAATGAGATTGTTATAACTTTAATATAAAATTACACCATTTTTAGAATTATGTAACACAAAAATCGCAAAGGCATAAGTCAATTTGAAACCGTTGCAAATCTCTAAATAACCACTAGAAAGTAATTAGCCGTTTACATTGCAACAATGATTTCATGTCATGCGTTTAAGACCTCAAGGGAATTGCCGTTGAGGAATAATAATGACTTATGTGCGTGTTGTAAACTATGCGTTCTTAGAAGGGACTGTCAAAATTCTATATTTCTTGTTTAACCAGATAATCTTTATAGGATTTTAGAGAAAAATTCGAAAAATAATTTAGTTTTTGCTAATTTTTTTAAGCTGACCTTCTACTTTAATTTTAAAAATTTACAGATATTAAAAATAAAATTCCTTACAGACTCTTCTGAAGTGTCTAAAGTTACGCAACTTTTCTTTCAAATTTACTTTGATTTTTAAACGTTGTGTTTTCGAAATAAAAAAAGTATTTTCAAAAGAAATTTTTATGCAATCAAAACGACGCGCAAAAAAAACTTTTTATTTTTTTAACGCTGTTTAAGCTATCAAAAAGGCTATTCAAGCTTTTGGTGAGGGTAAATATAATCCCTAAAAATAATTTTATAAAAGTAAAAAGTCATGAAGCTTAATCTAATCAGGCGAGAGAGGTGAAGGGGAAGGTATTGTTTGTCCCGGCCAGCAGATGTCCATGGGGCAAATTCGGTAAAAGGCCCTCAAAAATTTGAAAAAGACCCCCTAAATTTGTCCCCCCCCCAATTAAGGAGGAGCGTGGGGAGCCTATCCACGGCTGTGAGTATATCCTTGCTTTTTGGTAGCAGTTTCTTTTAAAAAGTAGCAAAAATAGTATTATTTTCTATATATTTAGAGTTTTATTAAAGTAAAGTTTTTAAAGTAAAGTTTTTAACAAAATACCCAAGAAACAAAATTGAATTGTGCTGCTCAATGTTATGATTTTGGTTTGTGAAGGAGGGGGGGGGGGGGGGGAAAGAGTTAAATTGTTTTCACAAATTGGCCCCTCCTTATAAGTTTTTTCTGAATTGACGCCACTGTTTGAGCCCAATCTGGAAAAATAAAAACTCTACGTCTATGGACTTATCAGTGCAAACAATACATATAAACCCATATATTGGTCAGATGTCTGATGTTACGCTTCGGCAATAACACTTGCGCTGCTCAGCAATACTCGTTTTAAGGCTAGCCAGGACTGGCATTTCAGAGAGCCATTATCAAACCAGTGTATACAGCGTTTACACTAAAAAAGTCATTAGGGCCCCAAAATTTAAAAAAACCTGTTACTAAAAATAAAAAAGCTCCCCAAAGTGTCACAAAATCCGAAACCACGCTAGGCTTAAATATGTGAGGTGATTTGCGAACGATCCCTGAGTTATTATTAAATTAATTGCAGATTCTTCTATAAAATAGTGGGAGATAGTTAAACCCTTTTCTCTGGCCGTAACACCAAAAATTTTAAGTATTATTTTATGTTAATTTTTAAAATTTAATTATTTATAAAAATATTTTAATAAAATTTTGTACAATTTCAGTAATAAAATAAATATAAGCAAATTTTAGAATTTAATAGTAATATTGTGTAATATTTTCAGAATTTCGATATCACAAAAATATTTCGAAGCAAATTTTACAATTTCGAAACTAAAAAAATTTTTTCGGTAATATTTTCCGATTTTCGAAATCGCAAATATATTTCGAAGCAAATTTTACATTTTCAAAAGTAAAAAATTTTTTCGGTAATATTTTCCGATTTTCGAAATCGCAAATATATTTCGAAGCAAATTTTACATTTTCAAAAGTAAAAAATTTTTTCGGTAATATTTTCCGATTTTCGAAATCGCAAATATATTTCGAAGCAACTTTACATTTTCGAAAGTAAAAAATTATTTCGATAATATTTTCAGAATTTCGAAATCGCAAAAATATTTCGAAGCAAATTTTACAATTCCGAAAGTAAAAAATTATTTCGACAATATTTTCAGAATTTCGAAATCGCAAAAATATTTGGAAGCAAATTTTACAACTTCGAAAGTAAAAAAATCGTTTCGATGCAAAATTAATTACTTTAAAATTATTTCGAACTAACCGAAACGAAAATAGAGTTTTGAAAACTTTTTTTTTAATCGAAAATTCAACTTTGGCTTTCGTGAACAACCCTACTTAAAATGAGATATTTAAAAAAATACTCCTCGACGGCAATTAAAAAAAAACAAATTTGTATTTTTAATCAAAAACTACTATATTTCATAGAAAAAGAAAAAAATTAAAATTCGTTATTATAGATAAAGATAATAATGAAATCAAAAGCTGAAGAGTAGCATCAAATGCAAATTCAGTAATTAAAAAGCCAAAATAATTTTAATGTAAAGAAATTTTACCGAGATGAAAGAAACAAACAGGTTAAGAAAGCTGTAATGTGGTACAAAGTTAGTGAAAAACGAGGATTTTCTGCAATATCAACAGGTCAGTTTACATGACTAAAAAGCAAAAATGTGGCTGACAAGCAATTAGATAACATAGTTCTTACAGCATCAAATAATGTAGTGGCCACAACATATAAAGCAATGAACGCATCAAATATTACTGCGAGAATAATACATAATGTAGTAGCACTTTGTATTATGCAGTTGCACATCATATAATGTAATGACCGCATCGTATAATATAGTGAGCTCGTCATGTAAGGCATTTTTGCATCATATAATGTAATGAGCACATCATAAAATGCAATGACCGCATCTTAAAATGTAATGAACATATCATATAATGTAGTGCGTACACCATATAAAATAGTAAGTGCAGAGTATAATGTAGTCATTGTATAATACGATAAGTACAGCAAATGATGTAGTGAAGACATCGCATAACTGAACGAACTTAAGGCAGCTTTAGCGTTTTATATATTATTGTCAGTATGAACATGGTATAGTTCTGAACATCTCATTTAAAAACGTTTATAAATGTTTATAACTAGAGAATTAAAATACTACTTCATCATTTTAATAACTCACAGCGGTGATTTTGTTGCTAATAGCAATATATCTAAGTTTAATAAATTCGTTTATAAATTTTTTAACTGTTAAACTAATTTTATTTTTAATAATTTATAAAATTATATCAAACCATAACACTTTATATAACTTTTAATAATTAAACAAACATAAACTTATAGTTTAATATTACTTGAAAATAAAAATAGTTTTTGTAAAAAGTTTAAACGCTTTTTCAGGAATTCAATGGAGTAAGTTGTGCAAAATGAAAGCAGATATTGTTGTTAGTGTAAGTTAAGTCTTATAACTAGTTTTTGATCAGCTAAAAAAATTTGTCTTTTTTCGACTTGGTGAAAAAAAAATTTAATATTATTTTTTATTATAAATAAAATTATATGCTATTTTTCAATACCGAGCTAAATATTTTTAGTATTTTAAAGTTTATTAGTTGTGTTTTTATTGTACAAATTTATCAAATCGGTTTAATATTGTTTGAAAAATTATTAAGAAATAAATACCATTAAGAATTTAAAAGTATAACTATGTATGAAATAAGTATGAAATATTATTTTAAAATACATTATCACTTTATTTACAATAACCAATTAGGAATAATTTAGTTAGGGGAAACCGGCAAGATGTTAACAACTTTTTGTTGCTTTTTAATTTATTTTCAAGGATAATTAAAATAATTTTTAATGAACATGTTAGAATAGTCCTTTGTGATATTAAGTTTATTATTATTTACTTATTCAAACAAAAAATATATATATTAGGGTGGGTCATAAAACTTTTTTTTCTTGTTACAGGCTCTAAACATTAAAGAAAAAAAGTTTTTTTAATTTAAAAAAACTTTTTTTCTTTAAAACATTAGGGTACTACTTTAAATTTTAAAGTAGGTCAACCTGCTAGTCAAAAGTCTAAAGGTCTAAAGGTCTAAAGGTCAACCTGGTAGTTAAAAGAAGCGAAATAAAAAATCCGATAATAATAATCGTTTTATAAAAATCATATTTCCTAAAAAAATTGTCATAAAAAAACATAGAAAAAATGCACTTTTTTCACTATTTTCACACAAAAACCATAGTTATTATGCAATAAAATCTAAAATAATAATTTTTATATGAAAAAATTATTAGTTTTGAAATTTCTATAAAATTTCGCTTTATTTGAGTACCTACATCACAAAACTTTGAAAAACTTTTTTTTTGAATAATAATAGGGCCTGCTAATTTTTGTAACTACTTTTACAAAATTTTTGTAACTACTTTTACTTTTTCACAACTCCAACAAATTGCCATCTTGTCCCAGTACTGGGCAATATGACAACACAGAAAATAGTTAAACATATTTTATTTTTTGATAATGTTAGGTTATACGGTTTTGAAAAAGTTAGCTTAAATGTTTTAATAAATTAAAACTGTGTTTTTACATCTTACCAACTATTAAACTAAGCGTAATGCAATGTAACGTCGTGATGAAGTATTTATGTACCGCGAATAATAGTCACAAATAAAAATACTGTTTATATAATTGGAACATTTCTCTGCCACCACTGTTGGGGTTTACACTGTTGGGGTTTTCTGGCAAAAATCAGAAAAGATTGCAGGTATAATATATGAATATATACGATTGCGTATAATATATGAATATAAGAAATAATCCTATCTATATATAATATATAGTTTAAATTCAGTGGATTTGCAGTGGATCATTACAGTTTTGCTCATCAGTTATTTAGTGGAACATTAGTGGAGCGGGTATAAATGGAGAGCCGATAACTTTTCGATATGTTAATAGTGGCTATTCATCGGCTGGCCGCTTTTGGCGCCTGCCACTAATGGTCCACTAAGTAATCGAGAAGCAAAATTACAACGGTCCGCCCAAATACCTTCATAGGTTCACTGAAGTTTCGCTATAAAACATTTGCTGGGTATATATATATATATATATATATATATATATATATATATATATATATATATATATATATATATATATATATATATATATATATATATATATATATATATATATATATATATATATATATATATATATATATATATCTGTGTGTGTGTGTTTAAAAAATCGGCATGATTAGTAAAACCAAAAAGTAATTATTTGTATTTAGCAGTGAATTTAAACCCACAAATCGTCAAAATACTGGACTTAAAACAGCGTACCAAACCACTAGATTACTGAAGGTAATTATCTAGAAAAACAAACCAACTTTTATTCTTTTTATAACGATTATAACGACTCAACACCTTTTAAGCGAGTACTCTAAATAAATGTATAGCAGCATTGCATAGAAATTTTAAAAGAAATATTTAAAAACCGCAATATTTGATTTGTCTGAAATCGGAAAAAAAAAAAGCAGTATAAAAATTTTAAATAAATATATATATATATATAATAAGTAAGTAGAATTTTATTATTTCGATATTATTACAACTGAAATTGAAAATGGTTATCCAGTTGATATATTGTTCCTATATTTTACAAAGGCGTTCGATAAGGTGCCCACTTTCGACTTATATATAAAATTTTCAACTATGGAATTAAAGGCAACATTTTAAATTGGATTGATTCTTTTTTTAAAAACAGAAAACAAAGAGTGGTAATGGGTGAAGTTGTATCAGATTGGTGCGAGGTTTATAGTGGTGTACCACAGGGCTCTGTATTGGGTCCTCTTCTTTTTCTGTTATATATCAATGATCTTCCTCAATGTATCTCTTCAATCGCAAAATTATACGCTGATGATACTAAAATCATATCTGTTATAAAAGAACATAATGATCTAACTAATATGCAAAATGACATTGATTTGTTAATTGAATGGTCAAATGTATGGTTAATGGACTTTAACATAAATAAATGCAGTGTTATGCACAAAAAATATTAACTATAACTACACTATAAAGCACGACAATCAAAGTTTTCTTCTAAAAACAACAACAAAAGAACTAGACTTGGGTGTAATAGTTTCATCTAATATGAAATGGAATCATCAGGTTCAAGTAGCTACAAGTAAAGCACAAAGAATCTTATGTTTAATAAGAAAAAGCTTTACTTATCTTAACACTGAAATAGTAAGGCAACTATACACATCGCTGGTTAGACCACAATTGGAATTCGCAGCTCCACTGTGGAGTCCAAGTAATAAAAACAATATCAATGACATGGAAAAAATTCAAAGACGAGCAACAAAGCTAGCCCCTGAACTAAAACATCTAAGTTATACCGAAAGATTGACAAAGTTGGGCCTCACAACTCTGGAAATAAGACGTATAAGAGGAGATCTCATTGCTTTCTTCAAATTAACAACTGGGATTGATAAGATATTGTGGTATAAAGAGCCTAATAAAGCTTCTTCCCAGAGACTTTAAGGTCATCCAATGAAACTTGAAAGAGAATTTGCAAAAACAACACCGAGACATAATTTTTTTACGAACAGAGTGATACCTCATTGGAATGCTTTACCTTAAAAATTGGTTTCTGCAATGACAGTAAATTCTTTTAAAGCTAGACTAGATAAACATTTGTTAACGGCTGTTAAAGTATAAATTTTAAACTTTATGCTCCGCGACAATCGTTGTTACAGCAGTTTGTATTATTATTACTATTACTAATAGAGACATAAAATGCAAAAAGCAATGTATAATATTCAAATGTAAAAAATCCACTTATATAACCTTATGTTCAAGCATATGTAAGTGTAAACATCAGTACTACCAACCTTCGGAATTAGAATCAACACGGCAATGCCAACCTAACTGCCGACCTAAAAGTGTTTGAGATCAGCAAATACTGCCGACCTTGTTTCTATGTTTTATGGTAACCTCTTTGTAACAAAGAGGACCTTTCGTTTTGCCAATCTAATACCGACCTTTAACAGTTTGAGGTTATTCTTAGACCTCATTTTTTCGAATTCGAGGGTTCTAACTACTGGCAGTAGAAATGTTGATTTCGACGATCGTATAATTAAGTATCGTATATCTATAATAGGCATCTTCATAAAAAATTTAAAATTTTATTTTTCTTACCAAACATATTCCTTTTTTTTTTTTAATTAAAATATATAAGATAAAGATGTATAAGTTAAAAATTACAATAGAACATATTCCTAAAATATAAAGAATAAGAAATAAAGTATAAAGAACGCGGATACTTTAAGAAAACCATCAGGTATTATCACAAAGAACCAGTGTTGATAAAATTAAACCTTTTTTAACAAAGGTTTTTTAGTTTATTATTATTATTTTTTTCTTGATATGTTGTGTACTGCTTGCATCCATCAAACTATCATAAAACATCAAACGAGTCTTTTATAACAGCTAAATGTCTAAAATGACAATAGTTAAAAAATACAATGCGGATAAAAACGTCTATAATTTTCAAAATAAATATATCGTATTGCGCTCACTCAATCTCATTTGTCGTATATAATAATGGAACCTTATTTGTCGTATACAATCATTAAAATCTTATTTACCGAACTTAATAAAAATATATTTGTTCTGCTGTACTTCCAAACACACATCTAGATTATCTAAAAAGTTTTTCAAAAGAAGGTAGTATATTTACATAACTTATATAGATATATAAGTTATGTAAATACTAATTAACACCATACCTATCATAAAATTGACTCAGTGTTAGTCTAAACAATTTTTTTTAACAAATATTTTACACAGCACTTTTTTCAATAAACAGACATTTTTCAGGAAAAAAACAGGAGGAAACAATATATGTAGGTAATAAAATTAAGTTTTTTAGCATCCCATTAGCATTTTTAATTTAGAACAAATGAAACATACTAATAGCATTTTTATTTTTTTCACGTTTTGAAATTGTAGTCTTAGTTTCAACAAAACTATGAGTAAATATTTAAGAAAACCAAAAACATACCTTGTTGCTTTAAAAATATATTGACACTAAGAACATGAAATACTTTTATTCCTCAATAATGGACCACTTGAGCTTTTTTATAATAGTTTTAAGGCCGTTTTCCACAAGACAAAAAATTCGCGCGAAGCAAATTTTTTCGTCGTTAAGCATGCGCAGATTAAACATTTTTGGCGATTATACTGCTACAGCGTTTCGCTGCAGCGAAAAAAAGTCGAATTCATTTCGACTTTTTGCGAATCGCCATAAGTGAAAACCGATGAAGTTTTGAATCACGTGATGTCAACATTGAAAAAAAGCGAAAACATGTTTTTAAAGTAACAAAATTCTTAACTTGGCGTTCTTATTAATTTTATATAAACTTACTCTGAAAATTGGTAA